CCCCCCCCCCCCCCCCGAAAAAGGAAAGCAAGGAAAAAAGAATAAAAATGCATATCCTTTAGTAGCTTCAATAAAACTTTTACAGACACTGGCCCAATTCAATTTTTCTCCAGAGCCACTCCCGAATGCAAAATAATGAAGGCCATTTTCAACTGAAACCCTGGAAGTTGACAAGTTCGATCAGTTGAAGTGTAAATCATGGGATCCACAAGCAAATGGAATTAAAATTTTGCTTCAATTGCTTAATTAAAACCTCAAAGATTTCCCTATGTAATGTAGACAGTGTTTTAACAAGAATTAGTAGTCTTCATCTGCATACCAAATCCAACTCAAGTAAACAAAGCTTTACCCCAACATTTTCAGGCCAACAACGTTCTGTTTTATTATGGCCATTGATTTGGTTTTGCTAGCTACTCAACCCACATCTCTCACTTATGTACATGCCCCAACTTGAATCATGTCACGCTTTCCCACTTCATATGTCTAAGGGCTTTATTGCAAAATGCAAATTCTATAATAAATTTCTCTTTTTGACTCCTGGTCCCCGATTGATTAAGTCACTAACGTTTGAATGAATTTTCCCTAAACATTCGTCTTTCTTGTTTTGTCACACATCTATTGCTAAAATTCAAGTCAATTATGCTATCCTAAGTGCAAACAAATTTTAGTACACTCCTATTGTATTTTTCCCTTTTATTAATTTTTCTTTAAATTTATACGATGCAACATATCCAGTCTCATATATATTTTGAGCCTAGATGAGGAAAATGGACACTCTTTGCAAAGGTAAGTCCTCAGTCATTATCCATAAGTAACTCCTAAGTCTTCATGTAGTTGGAAATGGCTGCATCTGTGTTGGAAAAGGCATTTACATACAATAATGAAGGAGCATTGTCACACTTCCACAATGCGGGAAGGGGAGAGGGGGTGAGGGAGGAGTTGTTGATACTCGTACATTAATCATGTCTGTATACCTATTTGTAACACTCCTTATCTAAAATCCACCATATTATATCCCTAGGGAGTTTATCATTTGCCTTATCTTAGTTTTTCTCTATATGTTTCCATTAATCTCCTATGTAGGCATATCCTTTCATTGTTGACCTCTCAGGTATACATCCAAGTTAATTCTTAGATGCGGTTGTTTTTTCAGCCCTTCATTGTTGCCGGACTCCCTTCCAAGGTTTCAATGTATGACTTATTAATTTAATACCCCAAAAATTTGTGCAATTTTGAATATGTCCTTTATTTTTATACATAGGCACTTAAATACAATTCCTCTACACATCTGGCATCTTCTTAGTCGTTAGAATCTTGTCCAAACCACAATAGTTATATGATATGTTTGAAAATATAAAATCGGTTATATATAAAACAATTTAATCAGAGTGGGACTACTCCATTAAAGCATAGACATCAGAAAATAATTTTAAAAGAGTAATGTTAGATGGACTTAAAAACTAAACTTGATAATCCCAACCATTGAATAGGGAGTGGGTCCCAATAAATGCTGGGACCCACAGTAAAATCAATGGTTGTAATTATCAAATCTAGTTTTTAAGTTTACTTTTTAAGTCCATGTAGCATTGCTCATTTAAAAAAGGGCTAGGTGCCTTAGAGTAATACAAAACAGTTCACCCACCAAATCCAAGGACCTGTTTCCATATATAAGAGAAAAAGATTGATATTCCTTCTCTGGTCGAGGATACCGTTGAAATATTGCCTGCAAAACAACATATATTAATTTCCATACATATTTTATGTTTGCGGAATGGGAAAGAAATATTGAAATGAAATGACAAGAATCAACATCTTTGGCCAATATCACTTCAAAGTATTTTCCAGAATTAGGAAAAGCAATATGGATGACGCTGCTTAACACTCTTTGGTGCACAAAATGTGTTAGACGGTCAGTTAGTAAACAGCACCAAACATGATATTTTGCTGTCATCATTTCAGTAAACAACACCAAACATGATATTTTTCTTAAGAATCAGGGACCACATACATTTCTGTGACAATGGAAGGAAAAGTGATGGCCGCAATGCGGCCACAACAGCAGAGTGCAGTCCGATGGCATCACAAGGAGTGGCAACCGTAATGGAGGAAGGTATGGTGGAAGAAGATATAATTAAAAGCAGAGGTGGACTGGTGGTCACAGTTTTAATTATAATGTCAGTTTAATGCCAATGTAAAATTCATTTGGCATTATAGTCACGATATTCCCTGTTTTGTGGTCAGCCTCATAAAACAATGACAATTAAGCAAAGTTATTTAAGGAAAAAGAAGTTCTGGAGTGAAGTGGGGTGGGAAAGGCGCCACGGAAATTACGTTGATGTACAAGGAAGCCCCTCGATGCAAGAAATAAATTTGAGCCCACCCTTCTGGAGATCTTGGTCTAAATTATTGTAGTCAATGAGTGGGTCAGACATTGACTTCAATGGGTCCTCACAAGTATCAACCAACACCCATACTCCATTTTATTCATTAGCAGAGCAAAGAAAATAAAAGAAAGAGAAGAGAAGAGAAGAGAAAAGATGGAGTTCAAAATTTTAATTTGTGTTCTTATAGATATGAAGCAGCAATCAGTGAATGGAAGAAAAAGTTGGGGCTCATCTGTTGTCCTTTGAAAATGCTGGTATCATATGCTGAAAATGATGTACTTCTCCAACACTCCTAATCACTTCCCTTTGGAGAGAATGTTTACACAACCAGAGGTATTTTTTTATATTTTCTCTCCTAAACTCTTTCAACCAGTTTGTCCTCTTTTCTCTACTCAGTAAGCAAATAAAACTGTGAGAAGGGGAGGATTTTTTATTTCCTTTCTCTTCTCTTCCCTTATCAAACAGTGTACTAGTATACAGATAATGAATATAGTGCTCATAGTTATATATATTAATCTGAAAAAACAAGTAAATAAAAGCATGAGGGAAACACAAGTGAACTCCAACAGCATGTCTATGTTACATCATATGGGACTTGTGCAAGGCATGGTTTGCACAAGCCGTGATATATACGAACAAAACTACCGTAAAACTATATTATGGCTTCACTCTGAATCGAAACTGTGATGAGAATATGAGATATTGTAGAACATGATGTCTAGTTTAATATATTTGTTAGGAACAATTTAGGACCCCACAGAACATTAAACCAATCAGTGGTACAGACCTATTCATTATTCCACTCAATTTTGTTTTTTTTTTTTTCTTTTGCACTTTTCTTTTGCTTTTTTATTTATATGCTTCCGGTTGTATCACAATCATGACCCACACAGGGTTGTAGCAATTGTGTGAACTTACACTAGAGCCCCAAGAAGCATTGATATAATCCATTTTCTTTTACCAATCAAAAACGAGGGCTAAATGTTATGAAAAAAATTGGGAGCATGTAGTAAAGGAAATATAAAAGAGCACAAACTTACCGTACGCTGTCCAGGTATAATCTGTGAAACATTAGTTAATCGAAGCTGTTTCTCCTCTTTGCCAGCATACCATTTTAGTGTCACCTCATCCTGAAGAATAAATACAGGAAAACTCTAGTGAAGAGACTCATCAGAAATGAACCTGCACCCATTTACTTTGAAACACTTGCAAAATACTTCAAAAGCTTACATTATAATGTGATCTTAAGATGTAAAAATTAGAATAGTAATCAAGAAGATATTGCGTTGTAAGAGTTGAGGAACTGCCCCAAATATTATTCCTTCATAATACACTAATTTTAGGTTATTCAAATCACCTCAAGCATATCAGTGGGTCTGGCTCAGACTTTCTGAATCTATCGTTGGCTAATACAACTTATGCCTTTTTTGTGTATTACACATGAAGAATTCATTCAATGAGCTTTGGGAGAGCAATTAAAACATTCACTACAGAAGATATCATAACATAAAGACCAGTGACACTTTAAAACTCAAAAAGTATCACAATATCTTGTGCAAATTAGCTACGGATGGAAAACCCGAAAAAGTAAAGAAACTGATGTACTACTTGATTGAGATTGTTTGCAACGAAACTTACGTTAGAAAGCCGGAATGGGCAAAACTTCGGCTTCCCTCTGCGCCCATACTTCAGTAGATATGATCCTCTCTTCAAGGCAGTAATGGCCTGCAATAAAAAATAGCATGCACACAGAAGTATAGCATGCTTGAAAATACATAAAAAGTATGGAAAGGAAAAAAGAATCTGGACATCTTCAAAGTTGACTTATAAAAAACCGAAAGAGAGAATAAGGCCATAAATTCTAAAATACGTAAAAAATATTATATTCTACTGTCATTTTGTAAAAGGATAATGATTATACATACACATGCAAAATAAAAAGGTGAAATAACAAGAGGTATGCAGTTTTGTCATCTGGACAGGCTACAGGGTGATTTTAGGCATTTGAAAATAAGAAAAATAATAATGATACATTTTTNTGTATCACAATCATGACCCACACAGGGTTGTAGCAATTGTGTGAACTTACACTAGAGCCCCAAGAAGCATTGATATAATCCATTTTCTTTTACCAATCAAAAACGAGGGCTAAATGTTATGAAAAAAATTGGGAGCATGTAGTAAAGGAAATATAAAAGAGCACAAACTTACCGTACGCTGTCCAGGTATAATCTGTGAAACATTAGTTAATCGAAGCTGTTTCTCCTCTTTGCCAGCATACCATTTTAGTGTCACCTCATCCTGAAGAATAAATACAGGAAAACTCTAGTGAAGAGACTCATCAGAAATGAACCTGCACCCATTTACTTTGAAACACTTGCAAAATACTTCAAAAGCTTACATTATAATGTGATCTTAAGATGTAAAAATTAGAATAGTAATCAAGAAGATATTGCGTTGTAAGAGTTGAGGAACTGCCCCAAATATTATTCCTTCATAATACACTAATTTTAGGTTATTCAAATCACCTCAAGCATATCAGTGGGTCTGGCTCAGACTTTCTGAATCTATCGTTGGCTAATACAACTTATGCCTTTTTTGTGTATTACACATGAAGAATTCATTCAATGAGCTTTGGGAGAGCAATTAAAACATTCACTACAGAAGATATCATAACATAAAGACCAGTGACACTTTAAAACTCAAAAAGTATCACAATATCTTGTGCAAATTAGCTACGGATGGAAAACCCGAAAAAGTAAAGAAACTGATGTACTACTTGATTGAGATTGTTTGCAACGAAACTTACGTTAGAAAGCCGGAATGGGCAAAACTTCGGCTTCCCTCTGCGCCCATACTTCAGTAGATATGATCCTCTCTTCAAGGCAGTAATGGCCTGCAATAAAAAATAGCATGCACACAGAAGTATAGCATGCTTGAAAATACATAAAAAGTATGGAAAGGAAAAAAGAATCTGGACATCTTCAAAGTTGACTTATAAAAAACCGAAAGAGAGAATAAGGCCATAAATTCTAAAATACGTAAAAAATATTATATTCTACTGTCATTTTGTAAAAGGATAATGATTATACATACACATGCAAAATAAAAAGGTGAAATAACAAGAGGTATGCAGTTTTGTCATCTGGACAGGCTACAGGGTGATTTTAGGCATTTGAAAATAAGAAAAATAATAATGATACATTTTTGCTATAAACATCTTTGAGGTGACCACAAGCCTATTTTCTTCACCAATTGCGAAGATAGAGGTTGTAAAGAGAGCTGGCCTCTCATGTTGAATGGTTGGTTTATAGGCTTAAGACACCTCTCCGATTTTGTGTTGAATGCTAGCACATGATATTAGACCTGAGTCGCAGGTGATCATTGGGTCAAATCTCTTACCCATTTGAATTTTTCCTGTATTCATGTTTGTCTGTGCCCACATGTAAGTTTGGGTCTCACCTGAGGAAGGATGTAAAGAGAGCTTATATTCTATTCTATATCCAATGACTAAGGCCACCCAAGGTTAGTTATGTGGCAAAGGGACCTCTCCATTCATTGTCTATTGATTTCAGAACGGGTGCTGTAACAGAGGTTTGGTGGCAAGATTCACTAAAACACAGTTTGTCCCAGCAACATTTTCCCAGAAATGGCCCGGGACACCAACCTTCCTCATGACTGTTCAAAATTAACTAAGAAGTTCTATGCAGTGTTAATTTAAAAGGCCTCAACAATTACAGGACCAAGAGTATGTGTTCAGAAATAGACTGGCAGTTTACGAGCACTGAATGGATGCCAAGGCTTTTCCACAATCAGCTTCTATCAACACTAAATTTTGCATCCATGTAAACATCAACAAAATCTCACCTAGCTGGGATAAGGTGTATCAACTGATTTTTGCAAGCATTCACAGGGATTTACTGTGTAATCCACTAATTGTGGTCTATGAATTATTGAAATTTATAAGGAGGATAACACACTAGCTTAATCACCCTGAGTTACTGTTGGATGACGTGTTTAGTGGACAATTGTGACAGTGATTCAGGATTAAACCTAGCATATCAGAAATTGAACTTCTATTTTCGAAGTCTAAGAAATGGTAGAAGCATAAATAAAGGCCAAGGCCATTTGCTAAAATCTAAGATTGCCCTTGGCCCTTTAAGTTCTCCGAATAGAATCTGTACTCTCTTCTTCTTTGCCATCCCCTTCCTATTGTCTTCACCATCGACTTTTATTTGAAGAAACATAAAAATAAAAAAAATAAAAAAAGCTATAAAATTTGAAGAGAATCCTACATATTCACTTTGGAAAAATAGGTGACTGTGTCACATTCATTATATAGAACCACAGTGATGAGTCAACCATGGAAAATGAAATTTTGATTTGGTGGACCTGCCCACTGTCTCGTGTTGATTGATATTTACAACAAAATCATAGGAGACAACAATTAGGATCAATATTATAGTAGAACTCAATTTGTTTAGATTTAAACTGACTAATAATATTACAGAGGAAGACTCACTAAGTATGCACATTTCAGTATGCTAGTGGTTGAAATTCAGCCCAACAATCCTGAGGATGTGGCTTTGAATCTAATGGAAACCACTTTATGCAAATAGTACCAAGGTCAGGCCGGTACCCATTCTACTCCTCTCAGACCCCATTAACAGGGGCTTAATGATTACAATTTACAGGTTTATCGAATGACTGCATTTACTTCCTTACAAGCTGCATTAAAATGGAAGAACAAAAGAAAACATTGAAGAAATTTACATTACCTGATCAACGTCCCTGTCCCCAAGACTATTCCTCTGAAAGTTAGTCATTCACTCTGCTACATCAAGGATGGCCCTGTGCATGGCATTTACACAATCTGGACAGTACCAAACCTCCAGAAGGTGAGAAAACAAAGCCCAAGTTTGCTCCATAACAAAACTTTGCAGCACACTCAGAGCTGAAAGAGATCAACTTCATCACCAGCCCACCTCCATGCTATATGTGTTTATCAATATTAAGAGGAATGGAATGAAAAGTTATCAAAGTTTCAAATAGTAAAAGCAATGACATAAAAGTCAGTTATTTAGTAACTTCATGCATTTTCTTCAGCATTCTTTACTTTTTTTCCCCTAAGAACGTAATGAAGGACCATTAAAACCAGATATAAATCATACACTCGAGTTACAAAAAGGCTAGACACTATCTACAGAAGTTCCTTGATTCAAAGATCCTCAGATCCATCAGAAACATCACAGAATAATCAACATCATGTTGTCTAACCAGACAATAGTTCGAGTTCCCTAACCCCATAAAAATATACCTTTTTGCCTTTCATGTATTTATAAAAAATATACAGGGATAAAACATCAATGGAGAGAATCACAAGTCTATATAATATTTCCATTACATTCACTTCTCTCCTGAGACCAGAGCATATGATTGTGTAACCTGGCAAAAAACTCAAATGAGGTTACAAAAGTAATCAGCATTCAAAATCCCCAAATTTGATCAGAATCGTGAACAATTTCAAGTTCAAAACCTACAAAACAAACATCAAGAACAACAAAATACTTACACATCAAATCTCTTTAGCCATTAATCATCATTTAATATGGGTCAGCTAAACACATAAGCATAGTGGTCACATCATTGACCACACTTTCGATCAAATCTTACTTTGTAACCGAATAAATCACTTAAATTGCTATTAAGCAGCTCCAAAATCATCAGAAACTGATTACGTTGAATATATTCAGGTTGCAGGAATACAAGCATACAAAAAAGCTAAAGAAAAAAAAAAAGAGGCTGAACATTCAGAGAATGACAATATGCTGATAGTTAAACCTAATTTTCATACGTAAAATAGCTGCAAAACATCTTCAAAACCATCAGAAACCTAGTATTTCACTCAATGCGAACCAATTATTTAGAATGCATTCAATTTGCATCAATAAAAAAACATCAAATCAACTCGAAGCAAAAATTCAAGAAAATGAAACAATGCTTATAAGTTTTTCACGTACAAATCATTGCACGTTGATGCAAAACCGGATTTTAGGCCTCCTTTTACGAATCTGAGGATGATATTAGCTCCAACAAAATCGAACAAGCCAATAAAGAACTCAAAAGCTGCGATTTCCTAGTTTCTGTCCGTTGCTTTTCTCCGCCATGTGATCGAAAAGCTTCGTATTGCAACGCAGCTTCGATCTCTTAGCGTTCGCGTCTCTTTCTCTCCCTCTCTCTCTATGTACAGACATATGTCTCTCTCTCTCTCTCTCCCCCTCCCCCTCCCCCTTCCCTTTTCCCTCCTAGAATTTTAACTGTTTTTATTTTTCTGTTTCTTTATTTGTTATTTTCTTGTAGCTGCCAACTGAATCTGTTGGATGGGATGGTCTATTTTGTCATTTCAGTCGGCAAGAAAAAAAGTGGTTCAAGGTCTTCATGGTCTGGGTCCAATCAAACGGGTTCCCGCCACTGTCCTCCAATCAGATTTGTTCACGCACGTCTTTCTTTTTCTCTCTTTCTCTCTTTCTCTCTCCCTCTGGATTGTGTGCTTGTCTAAAATTCACTTAAAAGACACATTTATACCAGGGTGTTAAGGGCCTCGTGTTAGTGTTAATAAAAAATTATTTAATTTTATAATAATTTATATAATATTATTTTAAAAAATAACAATAAATATATATTTTTTGTCTCTAATATTCGTTAAATACTTATTTTTTATCTATAGTAATTGTAAATCGTGTTATTCATGTCTAATCTTAATTTGACTTATTTATTACTTGTGTTATTTCGAATTTTATACTAAGTCGAGTTTGACTCGAGTTCGTGTTAATAAATAAAATTTACACCCCTATTTATTACTAGTAGAATTCTGAACTACTCGATAATTCAACAGTCTAATTTTAGTTTATGATTAATTGTAACTTTAGATATATCACATTTGATGTCTAAATGTAACCGAAACTAGTATCTAACGTGCGAGTGTAAGTCTTTAATATTTACTATACAAGGCTAAGTCCAATGCGATTGTATTATGAAGTGGTCACTCGTCATCTAGAAAAAGAATTAAAAAAAAAAAACCTATTGTCGAGGTTTTAGTGAAATTTTTGTAGTTCCTCTTCACTATTTTTTTCGAAGTTATATGACCCAATACGTAACAAGATTAATCCTTTTTTTATCATATGCTTTCCAACTTTTATATAGCTCGTATTTCGGTCACATGCTGTTATATCATGCAGTTAGAATGGTGTCCCTTTTGAAATTAGGCCCCGCGTTTAGATAGACAATTAACAAGTGGAATTACTAATTTGGACTCATCGAAGGTCTGATGGCTACAATCTAGTTGAGTCTTATACCAACTTGGGGTGGCTTAAAATGATCGTGAATCCCACGTTTGCGTAACTGTTACTTACCAAACATGAGACAAGATAATGGAGCCGAGGAGAGGGAAAGGCGGAATCCAATATATAATAGGTGCTACATGCAGAAATGACACTTGGTCGACTACCCTCCTGAACATCCCAGGTGTGAGCAGAAAGGGTTTAAAAATGCAACCTACAGGTTCTACAATTTTGGAGGCTCCTGAAAAGGGCTTGTAGTAGTAATGTATCCCATGCATTCAAAATCAGACTTCAAACAAGTAGAATTTCCAAGCAATGCACATAATCGACAAATCCCAAATGGCTAATCAAATTGAGGTTGAATCCATTGTGAGTGTCAATGTTTCCCATAATTGGAAAAGTGTTAGATTTAATTTCAATTCATCTTATGGATAAAAACTAGAGCAAAAACACAACATAATCATCAAAATTCCAAACATGGCAGGTGTTACAAACTTAAATATCTAACAAAAGGATACTGTGCAAAAGGAAGTCAAGCGACGATAATTACATGCTATAAGAGAAACGCGTCAGCATTTTTCTAACCAGATTACGTGATTAAAAACAGAGAATCAATCATCCACAAAGACACCATCAACAGCAGCAGACAGATGTTCCCCTCACCCATAGAACAGAACAGGTGCAAAAAAGTTCTGAATCCACAAAACTCAATGTCTCTTAGTCTTCATCATGGAATATGTAATTCTTCCCCCTGGAATGCCCTTCCCTATCAGCCTGCAAAGCCATAAAAATTACATCAATCTCCTAAAGAGAAAGATTGTTATTTTCTTGTTACTGCTGTGCTGCTAATATATACCTCGATTGTATCAGGTAGTAAAGATTATATTCAGTCAGCTACTTAATTCCTACATATATACTTATTGAAAGAAAAATAAACTCTCAGATTTTTATTTTTATTTTTATTTTGTTAAAAATAGTATCTGGCATACCCTGTGAATCAGCTTCTCAAATTCTGCAGTTCCATTTTCCGCCATATATTTCTCCGCTGCAGTTATAATGTCATCTCTCTTACTGAAAATGTCCTTTTTCCTTGGGACATACCAGATGTTAACAGTCTCTCGGTTAACAAAGATAGGCCTAACATAGTGCTCATAGACATATGCAGCACCACTGAAGTATGGTATAACCAACCAGCAGGTCACAATCAGCTTTGCATATGACCAGAAAGGGATCCTGCCATACATTCAGAATATAGAAGCAAGTAATTTTAAACATTGTGCACAGAACAAAAAGAACATGATGAAGGTAGTTTGCCAGATTTGATATTAGGAAATTTTTGAGATGATGACCAGCACGGTTCAAGGTCACGGTATCGGCCCTTGACTTGGGGGCCACTGAGACAATAAATGTAAACATCATCATCAATGCATCATATCCCTAAAAGACATTATTTAACACATTAATCATTGCAAAAAAGAATAATAAGGATGCTACCGAAAAATATTTATTATCATCTATATTCAAGGTTAATATAATATAATTTTTAATTTTTAAAAATTATAAAAAAAAATATATAAGTGTATATATATATGATTAACTTAACAGCTTTAAAAATGAAAATCTATTTATAAAGAAATTCTTCATTTAATTATTTATAATGTATTTGATTAGAGCGATTATATGTATATGTATTTTATGTATGATGATTATATGTATTTTCTTCATTATGTACATTTAATTATTAAATCATCAATACATATACAAAAACAAACATATGAAGTTAAGTTCTTATTAAATTATATGATAAATACTAAAAATTATATAATTAAAAAACTTGGGCCAAAACGGAAAAAAACAAAAAGAAGGGGGAAAAATAAATTTTTGGGTCTCATAACGCAAAGCCTCACGAATTTTGACCCACCAACTCTCAGACTTCGACGAACGCAGAGAGAGAGAGAGAGAGAGAGAGGGAGCACAGAGACGATGGGTCTCTCGAGACTCATCGTCGTGAAGGCTGGATCATCCGCTACTCAAGTAATCCAATCGAGCCTAGGGTTTCTGTAATTGATCTGCGATGTTGATCGATCATGTTGGGTGACTCGGGGTACTTGGGTCCTCTGCTACTGCAAAGAAGAAGGAAAGTAAGAACAAATAATGTAAAAAAGTCTCTGATTGGGGAGATTTACCCAAGGTTCAAAGTATCGGCCGAGTCGGATACAACTTGGCCGAGTCGTATCCACCTCGGCAGGCAATGATACGATAACGATACACGATACAAGACTATCACGAGTCTACCATGAATCGGTTCTGACTTGAACCAACTCAGTTCAACTCGGACAAATTCGAATTTGACTCGGTCCAACTCGGCCAATTCACTTTCAAATCGAACTAATACGCACAACAAAGAAAATGCCAAAAAAAAGGCAAAAAAGAAGAGAAATTGAACTCTAAATCAGACCCCTTTCACCATAATAAAAACAAAAGAAACAAGCTAGAACGAATAGATCACAGACCTGAAAAATTGTGGTAAATGTCAGACACCGCTTCACAATCACAATTTAAAAATTACATTAAAATCTCTTCACACTTACAATTTAAAACAGTCACACCCCTTCAATTAACAGACATTAGAATGACTAGCTGTCAAAGCTGTCATCATCAACAATAATTCATTGAATACCAAAAATATCCTCTTAATTTAAGATTCCAAAGATAAATTATTTTTACTTTCAAATTTACATCTCACATTTATTATTTCTATATTTTATAATTCATCTATTACTTAATATTTTTACATTTAAACATTTACTTTTATAATCTATCAAATTAAAATTTAATCATTGAATATTTCTGGTTACTAATTATCCTGGGATCATTTACACCATTCACACATCAATTAAAAAGTTTTTAAAAATTTTGTTAAATAATTACCTAATCATCCCCTACAAACTTTATTTTTAGTAATTATGTAATTACTTAAATCGATCCCCCAACCACCCATCACCATTGATTCCACCCTCCAAAATCCCACCACCTAAATCGTTGTCAACCCAAATGCCACAACAAATCCATCACCCAACAACTCATACCACGGACACCAACCACCAAAATACCAGCAAAAACTCACATACAGCAACCACCAATCAAGCAAGCAAAACCCCTGCTACCACATACTAGAGAGAGGAAGAGAAACACACCAAAACCTGGACATCAACACCCCCCCCCCCAAATGAAACCCCTTACACCATCCACCAATGAAATCTCAACCACCCAACCCTGCCAACCCACTACTGCCTCTCTTCCATCTTGTTCTTCTTTGTACACCGTTTCTCTCTCTACGCCACCCACCAACAAAATCTCTCTGCACCTGCACACATACGAAATTATAACCCAAACTCCACCCATCACCGCCCACCTTCGCCTCCACTACCACTAAGATCACTACCTACACCAAACCCACCGTCAACCAATGAAAAGCCACCATTAATATATGTTTTAAACAATTACTTCAATTCCACAAATCAAATGACCTTTTTATCAAAATCGTTAACGTCATTCACCGACTAGGGTCTCAGTGTATTTTTTAAAATGTGAGGTGGTGCCCATGTAATAAAACCAAATGTCTGGGGGTACAGGTGAAATTTACCCTAGTTTTAAAGACTATAAATGTTTTGGCAAAAAATTGTTGAGATGGATGCCCTTGAGAATGGTACATTACACGGAATATAACTCATAAAGATTATTTATGATATAAAGTTTTAATAAGTTCATCCGACGGTTTCAAATAAACTCATCCAACGGCCACAAATATCCATTTCAAAACCATTCACATTAAATTTCCCCTCCCTCAAATCCGTTACTTCTCACTTACTGTATCTTTAGATACAGATTACCCTAGTATATTATAATATACATCTATACCTATTCATTTATTTGGCCTTTGACCGTAGCTCGGTTTGGCAAACAATAATAACTAATTCTAGATGGTTCACCTTTGGCAAATAAAATTTCGTCTTTTCAATTGGGGGGCTGTGAGAAATGGCCACAAATTGTCATTAACTAACGTTTTATTAATTTTGGCTCCATAATGTTGCAATTACTAAAATTAATATCTATTTTTTCATCTAGCAAGGAAACTAAATGGTATCTCATAAGTCAAATTGTTGAATTCAATGGCCAGTCTGATCTTTGATTGACATATATGAATATAACAAAACAGATACTTGAACTACGCGGGCAACAAAATAACTCACTAATCCCAGAATGTTGCATTGGGAGGATGACAAATCCACCCTAAGTGTCTTCACTTGAATCAACTAGGGCCTACCTTCCTCCCCTCACTAAACCCATCACACACACAAGCTTGGTTGTTTCCACCTACATGATATACTATGTTGTATTACTATAGCCACCATGCCTTCCCCATTTCCTCCAGATTTGATGTAAACAAATTGTTAGAAAACTTAGAATTAAGCTGCCTAAATTGGACAAGCTCCATATGAGATTTTCCATTTGGTCCACATTAGTCTAATTGCACCTCCCAAACTATTTAACGAGTCTCGGCCAATTGATCTAGAGTAAGATGTTTTAGCATGTTTATCACAATTGGGCTTCGAAAGGTTTTGGGCTGGGAAGCACGAATACTTCCACAGGGGTGCCATAGTAGTGTCAGACACAACCAAAATACGACCATATACATGTCCGACAAGACTAGAAGTGTCCTAAATTGTGAACTTAGTCGGACATGGTCAAGACATAGCCAGGATACGTCTAGAACACGACCATAAATATTTTTATTAAAAAAATAACTTTTAACTATTAAAGAGAATGTGATTTTTACTTTTTTTAATATATTTTTTGCTATATAACTTATATACTATGAATGTTAATAAATGTCATGATATTTAATGAAAATGGTAGATATTTAATTTGATCTATTTCAATTTTAATCAATAAAATAATATTTGTTAGGTCTTACTATGAATATTGTTATAATATATGTTTTATTTTTAATATATTACAACTCTATTATTATTTAAAAAAAAATATTATATTATTTTTTAATAATCGTATCCTTGTCGCACCCGTATCCTCTATTTTTGAACTTGGTTGTATCCCCCGTGTTTGTATCGTAACGGATACAACATCTGTGTCTATATCCGTGCATCCTAAGTTTTGGGTAGCTCTCTATGTTATAGTAATTGATTTCCCCTCTATTCTTTCCATAGCTGCGTATATTTTTGTTTCAGATAATTTTTGATAAAAATTTCAGTGGAATAAAAAATTGGAGAAAGTCCTAGTAAGCGCGAGTTATCAACTTGAATTGACTACGTCCTTATCCTTTGTACCCAAAAAAATTTGCATATTAATAGAATACTAAAATGTATCCAATTTACCGATATCAAGATCCAAGAAACAAAGTTCTCCACCATATAGATATTTAGAATAAAAATGATGAACAAAAAATTCCAATAGAACTTGCGTAACATTTGTGACTTTTTAGTCCCACAAAATTGCAAAAAAATTTACTTTCAACTGTATAGGTACTCCATAATTACACAACTCTAGGAGTACTTCAATACTTAATCCATTCAATTTCCAACTTCATGGAAAACATTCTTCTCCACTCAACAACATTGTCCTAACATTTTTGGGATCGACTACATGAATCTTGTTTCGCTATTAACTCTATCAAAGACAATGATTTTAATTAAACCATAAATCTATAATATAAAACAGGGTATGCTTCAATTAGTCCATCCAATAGTCTCAAATAGACTCATCCAATAGCCACTAACATCTCTCTCTCAAAACCATTCACATTGCACTGTACCTTCAGGCACGAGTTACCCCTAGTTATCATATATTTCTTTACTATTTCATGTAAAGTTAATTTTGATCTTCCTCTACCTTTTACATTTACTTTCAATAACTATTATATCACTGTTTCTCACCAGTGCCATAGTAGGCCGTCTATAAATATGTTCAAACCACCTAAGTTGATTTTCTCTTAATTTATCTCTTATGTGTTACATCTACTTTTTTCCGAATATATTCGTTCCTAATTCTATATTTTTTAGTTTTACCACACATTTATATTAACATTTTCATTTCTATCACACACAATTTTTAAACATGTTGTTTCTTAATTTCCCAACACTCAGTACCGTAAAGCATAACATGTCTTATAGTCGTTCTATAAAATTTTCTTTTTAGCTTAAGGGGTATACATCTATCACACAATACACCGGATGCATTCCTCCATTTAGTCCATCCATCATTAATTCTATGCGTATGTTACTTGAATCGTGGGTTGCTTTGGCACGTGGTATGAGTATAGGTACAACACTTCTTTAGGTACGCCATACAATGGTACAGTGGGGATAAATTTAGTTGGTACAGTATTTTGAGTCCAATTCATTTAAACCTCTTATGTAAATCGTTTTCACTACTATATAAAATTATATATTACAGAACATTCATAAATACTAAGTTAGTTATCATTTATCTTATCATTGTGTTTGATTTTCTATTATCTAAAACAATATATAATCATAAATCTATATACATATAGTCAATTAATATGTATGTTACATGTTTTAAAGCGAATTGATTTAGGTTAGTATTACAATTTGGGGTCGTCTATTTTTATGGTGTTAGATCGCGAACCCGCCTCATTTGGGATCGATGTACTCGGATCGTGAGTTATTAACGATTTAGTAAATTGTGATAACCATATATCTATACAAAACGTCGTTGTCAATCTTACACTCTGTAAATAATAAACCCTGAATATTTAAAATGTTCACTCTTTAATATCTCTTGAGCTTCAATTTTCATTACTTTTTGGTTTCAATTTCTTTTTTTACTAAAATTAAATTCTATATACTTAGTTTTGGTCTTACTTATCCTAAATCCTTTTGATTCTAGGGTTTCTTGCCAAATTTCTCCAAATGTCTATAATTTTTTTAGGATAATCCGTGCAAGATAATAACGTACAAAATTTCCACAATATAATCCTACTTATCCTAAAGCCTTTAATAGTACTTATTATGGGATAGTCTCTACGCCACATTCATGAACTAAAACTTTTCTCTTTTTGTATTTTTTAAATAGGCAATCAAAAATAAGGTAAGGGGCCTACGGGCTCAATGCCAAGTCTAGATATAATTATCACAAGCCTTCTTGCATATTATTAATCCCACGATTATCTTTGATCGCATCATCATTCCTTAGTTACACTTGCATCATCTTCCTCTTCAAAGTTCAGGAATTTTATAGCTGCAGTCCTATGGATATCAAGATTTTTGAATATGATGTCATTCCTCAAACAAATAACAATAATATAGAGTAAAAGACAAAAAAAAATCTTATAAATCTCGAAAACAGAAAACACCCCAACTTTTCCATCAATCAAACAAAGGTCAAAATTATTCTGTGTACTCACAATGGTTTCGAATCTAGTGAATGGAGCACCCGCATTAATTCCCATAATGAAAAAAAAATCCATAAAGTGAAGCAGAATTTACCATTCTAAGAGTTTGGCAAAGGTAAGCTCAAAGAGAGTGATCATAGAATAGAGAACCCAGTAAGTAAGCCATTGTTGATCATCAACAGGAGACTTAGTCTCAATTGCCCGGATTGAGGCATATCTGTCGAACAATTCAACCAAAACTTCAGACCATTCTCAAACCACTGGAGTAAACAATTAGCCAAAACTAATTACACACGCACAACAGAGTATTGGGCATAAAATAAACAAAAATACTGAAAGTACACAATCAGGCATAAAAAATATTGATTTTGAGATGTCATGGAAGAAGAACAAGAAACCCACTTACAGAGGATAAGCAAGACTAAACACAGGCCTGCGAATCAAACATGTGGATCAAATCAGAGAGCCTTCCACATAAATATCCGTACACGTATTCACAATTGTATATTAATAATGGGTGTTTTATGTAGAAAATATCCTATTTCCCATTTCATCGGAAAACAAAGAATTGAAGAAGGGAACAGAAACAAGCACAGGCGTGTAAGAGAAGAGGGGGGTGACAATATATATTTATTTTCTCTCCGAAATTTGGTAAAGTAGAGAAGAAACAAATACCCAGCAAGAATGTCGAAATTCTTGGCCACCAACTTAAGAAAGCTTCCAGCCCCAGATCCCATTTCGAAGCCAAAATTTTCTCTGTCTTCTCACTGTTCTGTTGGTCTAATGTTTTGAGAAGAAGAAACTGGTAAAGATCTGGTAAGGTTCAGATGAGTTAGTTCAGACTCTGAGAGAGAGAGAGAGTAGTGAGCGCGTGCGACTAAAAACAGAGACGACAAGCGTTATGGTGCCAAAAAGCAGACAAGCGATGTGGTGCCAAAAAGCAAACGCGAACGATGACAACCGATAAGAAACAAGGGAGTAGCTGATAGAAAGGAAATGATTGAGTGTGCCTCTGGAGCAGCGTGATCCTTCACGAATCACAATCTTTTTATTAAAGGTTCAAAGAGTTTTCAAAGAAAATATAAAAGATATTTTGCACGTTATATCATGAAAGATTTTAAAATTATTGTTTTATATTTTTATCAAAAATATTATAATGTGATTTTTCTATGAATTATAATTTTTTTTTTTTGGTTAAAAACTAACCAATTAAGAATACGAAAAAACTAACAAAAACTTAATAGAAGAGTTATATTACAATATTTTTGATATATTTTAAAATTTTAATCTTTAAAAGTAAAAAGTGAGAATCTTAAAATTTTTAGGATATAAAATGTAATTTATCCAAAAATAAAATTAAGAACCTTAGATTTTTTTTTTTGGTATTATTCATTTAACCAAAGATCATTCTAATGATGCATGTATTAAGTTTGCAACTATAATCTAAAATTCAAGTGTCCCACGATAACTAACAATTTGTATGTAGATTAAATCAAACTCCAAAAAAACCAATCTCAAGTGATGGTAAGAGAAAGGTTTATTATACAATTTGTTCAATAATCTATAAATAACTCATTCAATCGTACCACGCAAGAGTATTCAAGCGCCCTATCTTACTAAATAAAAGGGCTCGAAAGCTGAAAAGAGTTTATTTGTATAGGTTGGATTTACTGGTTTCCGGAAACATTCGACTCCACTAACAAAAAGATTCTTGAATTTCTTCCTTCCAACTTATTTAGTTTATGATGAATCTGTTCAATATAAGATCACTTTAGATTCATCTAAATCCTGAATACCTACAAATCATTAATATCAGTTATGTCTAAAAGATACCAATAAAAGTCGAACCCTTTACATTTAATTCTATCGTTCGTCTGGGTCTAACTTCACACCCAATATATATATATATATATATATATATATATATATATATATATATATATATATTCACTTGATCTTAACTATTTTCTCTACTCATATGATCTTATTATCACTGGCTCTGTGCCAAAATATCAAAGTATAGACTATAGACTAAAAATGCACAAGGTCACAATTGGAAACGTGCACTACTTTGATTGGAGGACCATCGATTTTCACTGCTTCCGGAACCCATCGGATCATGCCTTTGGGTTCGGTGAAACAACCCAACCAAATGCTCCGGAAAATCTGTGACGTGAAAGGGTGGATTCTTATTATAAGCTCAAGTAAAATGATGAAAATACCACTTTCTAGGAAGTTCTAATGTTTCTTCTGCGCCAAAATGCAATTAAATATATGAAACCGTAGCATCTTTCGCACAACATAGCATCAGTGTCTCTAATTTTTTTTTGGATAAATTTCAGTGACATCCCTTATATACAGGCATAATTTCATAAATACCCCCATATTTTTTAAAATATCACTACACTCTCTTTTAGTTTATAGATTTGTTTCAACTAGTATCCATACAAGCTGAGACATTACTGACACATCAAAAAAAAGTGATGTCATTCAATATTTATTTATTAATAATAAATTTAACCCTCAATAAAAAAAACTAAAAAAATATTTTCCTATTTCTTTTCTCCTTCATGTCTTTTTAGAGCTAAAACATAAAAAAAAATGTAATTCAACATAAATCCTAAGAAAAACCTAATTTAATTAAACTAAAAAAACATGCAATTAAGAGAAAACCCCAATGTTTTAAATGTTAAATTGAAGGTCATTTGATGTTAATTTGACAAAATTTAATTTTAAATTGTAGAAATCAAATATTAAATTGATTAGTTTGAATGCTAATTGAATGTTAATTAAAAAAATTAAATGTTTAAACTGATGATTTTGAATGTAGGGAATTAAAGGTCAATTTGATATTAATTTAATAAAATTAAATATTTATTTGGTGAAGTTGAATGTTAATTGAATATTGAATTGACGAAATTAACGATCAATTTGGTGTCAATTCAAGAATAAATAAAATGTGGTGATAATGAATATTAATTTGGTATTAGTTTGATAAATAAATTTTAAATTGATAAAAATAAATACTAATTTAGTTTTAAATTAATGAAATTAAATAATATATTATTGAAGTTGAAAGAGAGAGGAGTGACAGATAAGGTGGTAGGCTGTAGGGGTGAGTGGGCATATATGTTTATTTAGAAGTACTAGCTGATGTCCACACGTAAACGATTTTCATCAATATCACTATTTTTTTTTTTTGACAAAATATCTTCTAGACAAAATTTAATTGTAATTTTTTTTTCTAAACCATAATTGTTTATAGAATTGGTATAAAATTATTGTTATAATCTGTATTATTATTACATTAAACTATTTTGTATGCAAATTTTCAAATACAACCGCTTAGATAACACATAACTGCTTAAGGTATATAATTTTTTTGGAAAGTGCTCAAGGTATATAATTTTTTTGGAAAGTGCTCAAGGTATGTATTTAGTGATTAAGAATTTATATAAATCAATTATGCATTTAATCTTTCAATTCTGATTTTTTTTTCTTTTTTAAGTGTGCAATTAAACAAATTTTACTTTTGATTGGAATGTTGGAGAAGTGAAATTTTATAAGCGATTTGGTCTTTCCATTAGCATGCAGGCTTGAATAATATTGACTTATTTTGTCCCTAATTATTATAATAAAATTAATTATACTCATTTATATAATTTTATTTTTTACACTTATTTGATTTTTAACTTGTTATGAACTCTTTATAAGAACTTATAAATTCTTTTGAACTCATTTATTAGTAATCCAATTACATATATTTTTTTATATTTATACGAAGAAGTAAAATTTTATATATGTTAAATTATTATGCAAATATAATTATAAAGCATATTTGGTAGTCATTTTTGACTATCAAATTATGAGAATAAAAACAGAAAGCATGTTTGGTAACTATTTCAAGTTTTATCCTAAATATGTTTTATAATACCTAATTTTTTGTTTTCAAATAAATCAACACATTATTTTATGAAAAATGATTAACAACCATGAATTAAAAACCTTCAACAGAGCACCAATCTTGCACAACCAAATTTTCAAAAAAATTAGACATGGAATTTGCCTCTGTATACACATGTCCAAGCTGATATTGCAGGAACACCTAAATGAGGAACCCAACTCACCCAAAAAGCCTTAACTTGCACCTTACCGCAATCAATCCCCAAATTAGACAACCTAAATAAAATACAAATAGATGTTATATCACATCGAAATATAAATCCAAACATTCCTTAAACCAAAACATTCACTAATTCATCAAAGAACATCTAAAGAAATATAGTTATATTACATAAGTCAGTAATCACATTCATACATCATAGTGTCCAACATACAGTCCTTAAGTTTAGACATTAATAAGTCATATCACTTAACTAAAATTCTAATAATTAATACAAATACCACGAACAATAATGCACAAATAAAAATCAAATTACATTCACAGCACGAACGCATGAAAATAGTAATCCATTTCTTTTCTCTCCATCTTGACTAGGCTTGATTAATCACATGTTGTTCATTTGTAATTGTGTTGTACTCATCAACTCATATGAAACAATTATCAAGCTCACGTCATCGTGGACAACGATAAGAAGCTCGTCCATTGTTTCGTTTGGTCCTTGTGACCAAAATATTCATGTTCCCAGATCCACACGAACATAGAGGGTCAATACGTGCCATTATAACACACCTAATTACATTAACATCAACAAGTAAAAATTAGTCATATAAACATAAATTGAATATAACAATGCAAGTATCAACACATTTTTACCATCATAATAAATAATAACAATAGAGCGTGTATCAATGGTGAGTTGATGCCCACAATTGATTAGCAATTGTATCTCTGACACGAGCCATTTGATGTAGTTGACTCGGACTTATGTCTAATTCTATTGGGACCTGTGAACTTGATCTAGCAATAGTTCTTTCATTATCAACAAATTCTCTTCTTTCTCAATCGTCAAATAACTGATCTTGACTAGAATGCATTCTTATGAAGTTATGCATTGTACAACATGTTGTGGGAATGTATTTCTGTGTGGTTAAAGGATATGGAGACATTAACTTTAGGATGGAAAACCGAGCCTTTAAAACTCCAAAACAACGTTCTATCATATTCCAAAGTGAAGAGTGCCGATGATTGAATAATTTTTCTTTACCAATTGGTTGTCGACCTCTACCTCTATAATCACGCAAGTGATATCTCTCACCACGATATGGGGACAAAAAATTAGGCATGTTTGTGTAGCCCGAATCCACAACATAAAATTTACCCTCTTGCGGCATTGGAAACTTGTTGGTTGGATTAGCAACACACTCAGCAAATATTCTTGAGTCATGAGCAGTACCCTCCCACCAACTCATCACAAATATAAAACGCATGTCAAAGGAACATGCACACATTACACTCTGAGTTGGTACAGTACATTTCTCATGGTATGGTATCTACGAATTCGTTAGAACACGTGCATCAACATGGGTGCCATCAATGGCACCAACACAATTCTTCAAAGAAAAAAAAACAAATGAATGACATTGAAAGTAGTATTTTGTTACAACATATATTACAAATTATTGTCACTTACCTTAAAAAAAAGGTAATATCTTGGGTTGAAACGAATCTAAGGTTGAACTATACTAAAATCGGGAAGGCTGATGATATCAACTCCAAGCCTACAAACTGCTTTCATAACACAATTAAAGTATTTGGAAATGGTCTCCCCCGAAT